CTTGCTGGACCCCCCGTCCCCCCCTGCCTCGCCGGCCCTGACACAAGCCAGATGGCCGCGGCCGGGCGGCGCGCAGGCCGCCTGGCACTGCGCGCCGCGAGACAGAATAGGAAGACGTTTTATGATCAGCTGCGGGAGCACAATAAGGCTGCAGCTTTGCTAGGTAATTACGTTTTCACTGCGCACTTTATTCCTCGCGGTGAAGGTCTCTCGGAAAAAAATTACATTTTTATTTGCAGGGTTTGTTACGTACAGACCTTTGATCTTTTATTAGTCAGTAGTCTGCTCTGGAGGAATTCTTTTTTTTTTTTTTTCTTAACCGGTTCTGCAGTCACTCGTGAAAACGACATGTTTATTTATGTTTAATGGTCCTCTCAGGCTGTTCATTGTGCAGCGCTTACCTTCCCCCTCCTTTTTGTCTCCGTTTGGTAACACAAAGTTGTTTTGGTTTTGTAGTGAGCTTAGTTTGGAGAAGTCAGAGTCCAGGCACGCTAATGCAAGCCGTTTTCTGTCAGACATACTCCAGAGTAATTTGGTAATATCTATTACTGCGTATTATGTGTTTGTTCTTTAGGGGGTCGGAGGAGACCGCGATCAACTTCTGTCTGAGTCAGGAAACGTCCAAGACAAAACCCTCCCTTAGTACATTTCTGGACACTTGCAGCCTGCAGCTCTTTTGCTGTGATATTCCAAAAAAGAAAGAAGGCGCCTTGAAGGAGGTGGGGAGTGGTGCGGTATGGCTCATTAGCCACCTGGGGCCTAATCCTGCTTGCACCGGAGTCAATGAGAGCTTCGTTCTTGACTTTGGTGGGGGTTGGCTCGAGTCCCTGATGTCACATAATCTTCTGAAGCAGACTGCAGCTATGAATGACTGTGCTATAAGGCAGCTGCGTTTCCTCTTTCCCATCACAGAGTAAATGAAACAATTAGTATTCATGCATGAAATCCTTCTAAAATAAAATCTTGCCACGGCTATCTCTCTGTTGGCTATATTTAAACTGGCCGGAAGATTGTTTAAATATATCTCATGGACAGTTTGCAATGCAAATTATTTCCTGTCTTAAAAAAAGTTATGGTTTTAAGGTATCTGGCAAGTTTATTACAATAAAATGTCACATTTTTCAAACAAGTCATCAGAAGAACACTTTTTAGCAATGACTGGTTTCCAGCATTCACCATTCAGAAATGTTGTGAAGTTTGATTTTATTTATTAAAAAAGAAAGAAAGAAAGAAAGAAAAGCCTGCACATTTGATCACGAGATGTTAGAAAAGAGATTCCCGCTATCTAACTTAGGGGCTGCAGCTTACCCACTAGTACTCCCTCACTTAGCACTGTGCAGGTTGCTGCCTTGCGTTGCTCCAAGTTAGGTATCTATTGGTGTGAATGGTCCCTATAAAATGCCCCCTTCCCTCCCACTTGGCAGCACAGAAAGCTGCGTCCCTGAGTATTATGTACTGTGTACTGAAACTTGAAGGGGGGATGAGGAATGGGTTAAACCCACTGAGAAAGGTGCATTCAGAATTGTTCTCCCATATGGCGGTCTTAGATAAAATGTAAGCGTTTGTGTTTCTGTGAATGTATCTTAACATTTTTGATGTTTTAATTTATTCTCATCTTTTTTTTTTTTTCTTTTTCTTCCCTACTCAGCTCTTGCCCCTGTTCTTTGCCTCTGGTTTTGTTGGTGAGGATATCACAGTGATGTCTGCATTCAACCTGCTGCATTTGGTGACAAAGAGCCAGCCAGTGGCCCTGCGAGCCTGTGGGCTTCCCTCAGGTTGAATGGCTGCTGCTTGTTGTGTCATGCATAATGAAGGCCCTTTTAGGAACGGGTGTCTCTGCTGCAGGAAACGGTGTGCTATGGGCTGCTCTGGTTTGTTTAAATTTTCCTTTGAAGCAGAAGTTTGCTTTTTATAAGTCACTGGCTTGGTTGAGGGTTTGCATACCCTAGATGTTAAAATACTTGGAAATGCTATGCAACTTCCTTGTCCAGCATATTCTCTCTTACGTTTTATGGTGTTTTTCTCTTTCTTGGCAAAAACAGTGCAATTAAACTGAAAATCGGTTGTATTCAATGCCATTTGTCATTTAAAAGTTACTTGACAGAATTTAGCGTATAGATTACTGTTGAATCATATGACTTAAAAATATTTTCCAAAATCTGTACAGATGTACTGTCCTTACACTAATGTATCCCTTTTTACAATTTTATTATAAATTAATGTTTCACTCAAAGGTATGTACAAAAAGTGTACAGAACATAAAACAAAATTCTTTCTTTCTGCTAACAGCATATTATTTAGACACTTCCCTAAATAAATAAATGAATAACGAAAACATGCAACTTAGTGTCCAGACAGAGCTGCACTTTTCATGTAATGTCCTGGCTCTGAAGTTAGATCTGTCTTGAAGAAGTTAGACCCCATCTCGATGAACTGATTAAAACTTTAAACCTAAGTATTTTGTATTTCACTTAAAGAACAACAGCATTTGTGATGTCTGCATAGTCATGTCAGTCTACATAGTTATGTGAGAGAAAATAAAGGCTTCAGTGAGTTAGTATAGAACGTTACTAGGCATTTTCTTGGCACCTAAATAAGAAAGATACAATCCTGACTGATCAATATTTGAAACATCAAATAAGAATCAGCTTGGATGTTTGTAACACACTCACAACTGTTTCATAAGGGTGCAAAATGTTACAAGAATTTTTTTTCCAGGGCTGTATTTAACAAGCATATGGAGGTGATGTTCTAAAGATTTTTTTCGGTGATAAGACATCAGTTTTCAAGCTGATGGATTTTCTAAAACTGATTACACTTTATTTGAACTAAATCTGAGTCCAATTTTTGCAGCATTTGTGTTCTGTTTCCCCCCACATGTGCACAAAACTCCCATTAACCTAGATAGGAGCTGCAAACATATTGAGGAAGAGAGAGAACAGCCCACATTGTGTCAGCCTGACCTTTGTTTCCTGTTGCATGTGCTGCTGAGCCAGATTTAACATCCTAAAAATATAGGATAAAGCAAATTTCCTTAGCCCTTATTATGCACCGTTTGATGTGCGCTCACACTGCTGGTGCATACCTTAAAACAGGGCGCTCACAGTGTTCTGTCCGTTTTGTTCCTGCCCTAAAAAGGAGATCTCGAAGTTGGCCAGATAGAAGCACAGTGTGTACAAGGTTTTTCTTTTGCGTATCTGTTTGCAAAGCATTATGTTAGCAATTTTTTCAACTTGTTTTTCCAGCAAAATCCAGTGGTCATATTTTGGAGTAAAAAGTTAACAACACTACTGTTTATTCCTGCCTGTTTGATCCATAACTGTGCAAACATTAACAGATTAAGTTCCACTGACTGGCTACTTTATATATATATTATAAACCAAAATTCATCTGCTAACAGTGGAATAATATACAATCACATATTTCACATATTTTAAGAGGAATCTAAATTCCCCAGACGCTTATAAATTAATGTAGGCTAGCTTAGCCTTTGGTTTGTTTTTTGTGTGTGGTGTGTTGAGGGGGTTACAAGTAAATGGTAGAGCATGTATCGAATTAAACATGGGAATGAGGTCTAGAGACAACATCTGTTTAAATGCCACAATCCACTGTGACTTTAACTTTTGAATATACGGAAAACGCCCCGAGTTCTCATGACTTTTTTGTAACATAACGCATTGTATTAATGCTTTTCCCACCATCCAGTTCTGTGCAAATTGTGACTAGGCAACCATACCACTTTGTGCTACGTACAAACCAAGTCTCAAATGGTACAGAATTTGGTCGTCTTCTGGTTGGATAGCAAATTTCCTATGAAAGGAGACTTTCTAACACTCCAGAAGCGCTCTCTGTCAATTCAGTGTAAGGAAGCAAAGTGCTGGCAGAATTTTCATCCTTGAGCTGAGATATAAAGCCAAGGGCTCTGGCCAGTGTTGTATTTCTTAACATATTTTCTAGCTGTAAATTGAACTTCCTTACACAGTTCTGAATTTCATGATTTAAATATTTGCAGGACAAGGCCTTAAATGGAAGTATCATTTCAATTTTTACATTTGGAATGGTACCTAGTATTATGCTGTTTTGTCTCTTCCCATAAGGTTTGCTTATGCTGTAACAGATTTATTCGATATAATATTTACCTTAATATATGAAGTCATATTTGTTGATCAGAAGCAAATTAAAATGTTATTTCAAAATAATGAATGAAATAATGTCTTTCTCAGAACGCTAAGAAATATCTTAGAGTAGGAGTAACTTTCTGTCTCTTCTTTGGGTCGCCCTACTTTATAAGGATGTGTGAGTTAGGCTAGAAAGTCTGTTTGTAAACCGAATTAATTGTTGTGAAAAGCGTTTTTACTTGCTCTTTTTCTATTTATATATTAACACCTGGAGTGTGGTTCTGTTCTTCCAAATTATATTTTAAAATTTTTCTTTTTCTGAAGTTAGGACTAAATATTTCCATATGCGCATATCTAGTGCACAGTTTGACCTAAACCCTGTACTTTTATGTATAAAGTCAGACTAGTACCGTACATTTCCAGTAGATGGCACTAATCATATATTGTTTTGCATGCCTAGAGCTATATGAAAAGCTTCCCCCTTTAGGAGTCGTTCATACATAAGTACACCCTAAGACCTTATGAACGTTTTAAATTATTTTAAGAAAAGCAGGAGCATTGGGAAAAATCATATAAGTCTGTGCTCGTACACAAACTACATTCATATTGGTTCAAGATTTCTTCATTTCCAGCAATGATTACAGCTCCATTGTGTTTTTCATGTGATTTAGAAGTGGCGCTCCTTGAGCCTGCTCTGTTAGAGTTGAATGCTCTGAATTTCTTTGGAAACAGAGGATGCACTCAGCACCTGCTAGGATTTAGTTTGTAGGAATTAAATAAATAAAAAAAAAGTCCAGAACCTTTAAAAGTAAAAACTGCTTCAGCTGCTTTAGTGCATACCAGCAAGTAACTGATACAAGTAATGATTATGCAGATTCCATGTACATCTGTTTTCTGTAGCAGACCACCAAGATATAAAGTAAAAGAATATCTTATTTTGCTTTGCTGTGTCTTTTAATTATTATGGGCTCTCATTTCTTAAAAAAAAATCCTTTATTTCTTTAACACTTTGAATGTTGTGCTGCTTACATCACATTTTTTGCATGAAATAATTTGGCTTTCCTCTTTTGTAGATCAAGGAAAATTATGGTAGTTGTAAAATTAAGTAAAATTAATGATGAAGAAAGTACAGAGGCAGACTTAGGTAGTGTTTTCTCCAGGAGGTATATGAAATAATAAAGTATTAGATAATATTAAATTGTTGTGAAGTGTTTAATTACTAGAATAACTATCAGTAAGAAACTATACTTCTCTAGGATGAGATTAAGCTACAATACATCTGTATGAAGATGGTGCTGGGCATATGGTGTAAGTCTTTATTAAATACATATCTATAGTATAGTTTCTCATAGCCTGTTTTATTAAATCTTTGTTAATTCCAGGTTACTGTGTATTATCTTTGCATGGAATCAAAATGAATAATTAATGAACAATGACTTAATGAGCAATTCATGAATTAATGAACAATTAATGAAAATTGGATTTTTAGTGGTAATCTGTTAACATAAAGGGTTACTTTTAGGAGCAGATCTTGCAAACACTTACATACATGAATTACTCATATGCATTAGTCCCTCTGAACTCTCAAACTGCTCATGCCAGTGAAGTTATCTGTGTGCACAGAGCCTTCCAGATCTGTCTTTAACAATGAAAAGTCTAGAAAAAAGCTTAGTTTAGTATGTTAAAAATACTGTGTTTACTTATGCTTATTATACTTTGTGTAACTAAGTATGTCTAAATGTTTTTATATTGTGTGTTTGTATGTTCAGAGCTATAATTTCCATAATACGTGTTGTAACTTTCTCATAGTTTTACATAATACGTATCACCAGAGATGTAATATTATGGATTTCTCTTCACATAGTTTGAAACAATGTAAAAGTGAGACTGATATGTTTTATAGCAAGACTCAGTAGTACAGCTATGGTTAAGTGCCTGTCAATGTTTTCATTATAAATCCCTATTTTCTGGGGTTTATAACTTGAACATAAAAATTTGCTCTAGGTTTAAATTTGCCATACAAAGTCTCAGCTGGATGTACTTTTTCTTTAGAACTGGTCGGGGAAGGCAAAAATTAAAACTTATTTCTAATAAGTTTCTATTTTTAAGACAAATATCAGTTTGCAACAAAAATAGAATTTTTACTTAAAATACAATCTTACGTGTTACCTAGTTCACTGCCTCCCAGAAGTTTTGAGAATTATTTGATACATGCTTGAACAGAGTGCTGAAGACAAGCACAATGTGAGCACAATAGGAAATAGTATGTAAAATTGTTTGTGTGTCATTAACGTATAAATGTCTGTTTATATCTCCGTGTTGTCTCTTCATGATAGGATAGTAGAATGCTGCTGTAATCTGACACATTATTGTATTTTTGGAATGTCTTGAAAATGGGTTGAAAAAAGCAGCTTTCTAAAGATATCTTGGTAGGATTCTATATTCAATGTTATATTTGCTTTAAAAAACCCTTTATCTACCAATGTTTGTTTTGTACACTAATATTTGATCCAGAAAATCTTACTTAATGCACTTTAGGAAGGAGTGAAATGTATTTGTAGAGTATCTCTTTGGGAGTACTGCTCTTCTTGTGCCTGATGCTTACAAAAATTGGGATGGTATAAAAAACCAAAATCCTTTGTTAAGGTGCCCTTTTT